TTCCTATCCATTCTCTCTCTCTCTTTTTTCGCGTTGGTTTTACGGAGAATTTCATTTTCTCTAGAATAATTATTTTCCCCCCCGAGAATAATGTTTTTCTCTGTGATACAGTTTTCACGAGAACAAAGTCTTCCGAAAAACTCTGTTACTCTAGAACACTTTCTCCACAACACTTTTTACTCTAGAACACTGTTTACTCTAGAACATTGTTTCTCTAGAACACTGTTTACTCTAGAACACAGTTTTCTCTTAAATAGTGTTCCCGAGAACACAGTTTTTATTTATTTATTTTTATTTATCCGCCTAATCTTCCGTCTTATAAGCCCCTGTGACTTATACTGTACAACATATATGTGCTGGTTGGAGCAAGGTGGGTGGCGGGGGGGGGGGGGGGAAGCTGCCATACCAATGTCCTGCTAGAGTTTTACGGGATAATTTGAGAAAAAAGTGTAATTGTTTTTTGTACCTTCGTCTTTTTTTTCCATTTTCATCCTATTTTTCTCTCTTTCTCTCCCTCCAACTTATCTGTCTCTTTCTAAATATCTATTAGTTCATATGTCTGTCTGTCCTGTCTGTCTGTCTGTCTTTCTCTCTCTCTCTCTGTTTCACACTATCTGCCTGTATGTCTATCTCTCTTATTCCATTCTCCTTATCGCTTTCTCTCTTGTTCTCCTCCTCCCCATTCATCTCCCTTTCTCTCCATCTCTATAAATAACATCAACAATCACAACACACACACACACACACACAAACACACACACACACACACACACACACACACACACACACACACACACACACGCACACGCACAAACGCACACACATACAGCACGCACGTATTATAATAAGAACATACCACAACTTTTTCTTTCTTTCTTTTTTTTTTTTTTTTTTTTTTTTTTTTTTTTTTTTTTTACTCAACCCCATCCATTTCCAATCGATTCACAAGGCGACCTCCAAGGGTACCTCCCGGGCTCGAACCTTTTCCCACGGGGCTGACCACGAGCCCTGATGACTGATAGGATAAGTGGCGGGCGTGAGGGCGGTGTAAGTGACCACTTGGCGAACGGCAGAGATAATGAAGACGAAGAGAGAAGACTTCGTGGAGGGTGCATTGGCTTCATTCCAAAAGTAGGCCTATGGTCAGTTAAGATTCAGGTTAGGGCGGATACACATACACGTACATATAGAGGAACGTACATACGCAGATACGTACATACATACAGTATATACGTGCATTACACAAGCACACACACACAGATACATACATACGTACAGTATATACACGTGCATTACATAAAGCGCACGCGCCCACACACACTCACACACACAGACACACACACACACACATCGGTATATGGATACGAAAAGAAAACATTTCTTATCTATCTATAGTTATCATACATAATGGTATTTGTTAACATTGCCACGCCATGATTAGCGAAGCGTAAGGTAGGCAGTTATACGAATCATACTTATGGTGAGTTATATCAAAGCTCTACAGTGAATTATTGTATCCATGATCTTCTATACAGTGACCTAATATATCTATATAATATCCTGCTCAACCTATTAAGTGACCTGTTATATGTATACTTATTATATCTCGACTACGAACCACTATGTCTATAAAATAAAATATATCAATGTGCTAAACTTTGTCTATACATTAGCCTCCTATATCTATAGAGTGACCTGTGATGCATCCATACAGTGATCTATATTTATAAAATATTACTTCCTTCAAAACTCTCTTCAAGTAATTGATAAACTAACTGGTATATGCTACACTTACTACACCACGTTACCATCTTAAACAACCTCTTACACAGAAAAAAAACGGATGATTATCTAAACTTCAACTTCATCCACGCACATCCTCAAACACCTGAAATCCCCAAAAAGAAAAAGAAAGGGAGAGGGAGAGAAAAAAAAAGAAAAAAGATCTCGGCACCGCACGCTACCAAGCCACTTAGCGCCGTCCTTTCCACAACAGCATTAGCAAACACCCGACACGCCCAATAAATCAATGAAGAAGAAGTACCACCAGCAGGAGACCTCACTCCCTAGATCCCCGTACGTCTCGGCATCGCATAAAAGCCTCGACAATAAGGGAGATTAAAGAATACCCCTCCCTCCTTCCCTCCCTCCCTCCCTCCCTCTCTCTGCAGCGTTAGCCACGGTTTATCCAACATAAATCAATAATCTAATTTCTAATAAGGACGTTATCACCCCTTAAGCATCGGGAGGTAGCGAGGACCCCCCAACACGCTCGGCAATCGGGGGGAATTTATAATATCACTGGCACTAGAAGGATTTATTGAAGGAGAAAGCCATGGCGGGGAATGGCGCTGATGGTAATAGGTCATTAGAACGGGCCGGAATGGTGTCAAAAATCCGAAAGGGGTCGTTAGCGCCCTTAAAGGAGAGGGTAATAATTCAATCATCTCGTTCCGTCGTTATCGAAAGCATGATAATAAACAAAGGCAGGATAAAAATG